CTTTCAAGATTAGCTTCATTTTACATTAGACCTAAGCTTCAGGAGAAATGTGTCGCATTGCTAGGGTTCCTTCGCTCGTAGTCGTTCTTCTCTGCGATACCATTTTCGCAGCTTCTGCCTTCCATTTTGCCAGCATGGAAGTTCACGACTCCTACATTTTGCCTATTTCTGTGTTCTTTTAGTTTTTTTTTTCGCTTTGGTTTTGCCTTCTTTCGGAGTTATGGTTGCTCTCCGGGTGCAGGACCCTGATTTTTTGAATGGTATTTCATCTTCTCGTTCATTTAGGGATTCTTTGTCGGGCTTGTCTCCTACATCGGCTGTGTTCCTTGACCTCAAAATCTCGAATCACCAAGGATTACCTTCATTGCGGATTTCAGAGGCTGAAATCTTTGTTCTTGCCGCCCCGTTTGAGTTCACTTTGGTTGGAAAATTTCTGGGTCATAGACCCTCTCTCGATGCTATTAGCAAATTTTTTTTTCAATCTAAAATTGATTTGTGATTTCTACCCAAAGCATGACTTAATTAAGCTTGTGGATGATCATGATTATTGTGGAGTGTTTGCCCATCGTTCCTACTTTGTGAACAATTGTTATATGAAATTGTGCAAATGGACTTTGAATTTTGATATTGAGGTTGTGTTTCCAATCATTCTGATTTGGGTTTCATTTCCCAGCCTTAGGGCTCACCTTTTCTCTCCCATAACACTTCATGGTCTTGGCTCCTTCTTTGGCTGTCTTCTTAAAATGGATAATGCTACCTCCTCTAGCTTTCATCCTTCTGCAGCTCGTGTTTTAGTTGAGTTACATGTAACCAAACGTTATCCTGATAAAGTGTGGGTTGGCCCTGAAAATTTGAGTTACATTTAGGTTGCGGTTATGGAGGACTTTCCTTCTTATTGATTTAGGTTGTGGCTATGGAGGACTTTCCTCCTTATTGTGTGCACATTAAATCCTTGCCATTATCAAGCTGAATGTTGTATTCTTAATCCTTCTCCTGCTATGCAACCTCTTTCAAATATTGGGGATGGTAACTCCACTAGTGGATTTGAAAAAAAATGTGCTTGGAATTGGTTGAGATTTGGTTAAGCAAAATCGTGTAGAGGTTGGTGTTGTTGGTAATGAGAAGTTATCTCAACCTGTGAATGATGTTGACATCGAGCCCTCGTATGAGCCCATTGTTTTAGTTCATGTGGTGCCTATGGAGGTTATTCATGTTCATGATGTGGGCCATGTGGTGGTGCCCAATCTGGGTGTTGCCGATGACCCTGTGCTTCCTCCGAGGGATCTTCTTGTCTCTGTTAACATTGTCTTTATGGTGGAAATTAAGGGTTTGTATAATCCTCCTATTGTTTCCGATGTTAATCAAGTGGAGGTGATGAAGGGTTTGTTCGAAGTTAACAAGGTGATGGATAATAGTTTGTCTAGTGAGTTGGGTATTGCATATGATGATTCTCCTTTAGCTGTTCTGGATATGCCAGTGGGTGAGCTTGAGCATGTACCTTTTTTTATGTATCAGTTTCTCTAATTTCTAATGAAGCGTTAAAAGTTCAAGTTACTAGCAAGTTTACATACATTAATGTGGATCATTCTGAATGGATGGATTCTTCCTCTTATGGTGAGGGGACGGGGGATCACCCGATTGACGAACTTCTTGAATTATATAATTTGCAGGTTAGTAGTAGTGTTAACAAAGCTTTCTCTCATTAGTGGTGGCAAGCGTCGTGGTAGAAAAAAAAAAGAAGTAATTACCTTGGGCTTGATTCTCCCTTTTTTATTGGATGGCTTTGGGATTGTTGTGATTGGATTCCGTTGGATTGGTTTGTCGTTGCAGGTGAATGTGGCCCGGGCATTGATGAGACAACTTTCTGCTCACCATCTGGTCGGAAGTGGCTTGTTGGCAACCTTTGGTGGTGTGTCTTCTTATTCTGTTTGGTGACCTTTGTTTGGGATGTGAGGTTGTGTTTCATCTGTGTGGGCTATGATCGTTACCTCCTATGGATGGTCTCTCAGAGGTACATTTTATTTGTTGTTTTAGTCTTGTAATTATTGTTTTGTCTTTTGTTGGACGTGTTTGTATCCTTTTATTTTTGTTGGAATACATTTCCTCTTCATTTAAAAAAAAAAAAGATTAGCTTCATTTGTCATGTTGAGGGCACTTTTATGCGAAGGCTAGGTTCAAGATTCTTACAAGAATTATTTTTTTGAATAAGAACAATCTCTTTCTATAATTTTCCTCTAAAAATTCCTTTTCTTTTACACGGATTACATGCTATTTTCTTATCTTTCACTCTTAATGAAACAGTAATACCTATGTTTACGAGATAAGAGGAATAACAATAGGAAGAGGAGGGTTTGTGATTGCTAGGAATGATGATAATGAATATAGGAAAGAGTAGAACATGTTGTTCCGATGGCAAGAGAAAATAGATCTTTCTATACGAGATTTCTATTCAATACAGAAAACAATAGGAAGATGACTCTTTCTTTCCGACAACAATTCACTTTTGCCGTTATATGGAGAGAAACCTAGCACATTTTGTTCTGAAAAAGAACAAAACTCTTGCCTTTTTCACATCTTTTAATGAATTCTCATTATCATCATGCTCTTCGTGCATACCAAATTTCTTCATTTTAAATTGATCAATCTTTCTCTTTCTTTCTTTAATTATAGCACAACCAAAGTTGGGTTTCAACCTTTCATGTGAAGCCCTTGGCCACAATTGATCTAAGATTCACATCTTACGATGAGACATCAGGCAACCCGACAACAAATGCTTCTCAAACTGCTCTTGCTCAAGTATTTGGAATCAAGGGCTCTAGCTCAATGCAAAGATATTCATCGGGCCTTCCTACTATTGATACTGATGCTTTTCGTCCAATTCTCCAACTACATGGACAGAATGAGAGACCATCTTCAAGGCTAGAAAAGCCGGACTCTACCTTTCGAACTCTTCATGTTCCTCTAAATTACACAATGTTTTCTATAGCTGATGCACCCAAATTCTATTAGAACAACAGACCCTGATTAGTAGTTATTATGCATATAAATATATTATATGATTAAAAGGCTTTTGTTGCATCATGATGATTCGAAAATTTGAAGAGGTGCTCCTCTCTTTGGATCCTCTCATGGCTAGCTAGAGCTACCCATAGGCATTAGGAAAGAATCAGTGTTAATTTAAAATTTAATATAAATATTCTTTATAAAGGTCCCCTTAATGAGTCTTGGATCCGCTATTAGGATAGGAATCATGTTCTTTAGTTTAATCATTTGTTTAAAGTTGCCATTAAAATATTAATAACAGCACCCTCACTACTCCCTGCTCCCTTCTCACACGACAGGTTTTGTAATTCATCCTTTCATTTATTTATGCTCCTTGTTGACCAATAATGACATTAATGAATTTTTCTTTTTTTATTATTTTATTTAATCAGGTAGGGATACTTTATTTCTTTTATTTAATTTTATCATTTTTATATTTTTAAACTAGTAACTAAATATTTCTTATCAATTTGTGTCAGAAAAGTATTTGATGATGGATGAATAATTTTAAAAATTTTGAGCTGCAAATAATTAACTCAAATAACAGTTCTTCTTAGGTCCCATTGGTAATTCTCCAATTTGTTCTTTAAAAATTCTTGATAGTAAATACAACAACAACAACAACATCAAGCCTTTATCCCACTACGTGGGGTCGGCTACATGAATCCTTTTTCTCCATTGTGTTCTATTAAAAGTCAAATCCTCATTTAAACCTAATAAAGAAAGGATTAAATAAAATGAAAAAATAATAGATATGAAAAACAAAAATAATAATAATAATAAAATATCAATTTTCAGATTAAGCTGGAATCCTGCTTAGATCTTACACTCAAACATAATTTAAAATGAGTCAAATTTAGGCTTCGTTTGAGACAGTTTTTTTATAATTCTTAAAGCAATTTTTTAGTACAAAAATTATAATTTTGCATTAAAAAACTACTTTAAGAAGCAATCAAAAAACCATCCCAAACGAAGCCTTAAACTTCGTTTGAAATAATTTTCTTGAAACTTTCTAAATCAGTTTTTTAATAATTTTTTTTATTATACCACAAATAAAACCTTCAATAATATATATATAATCTATCTTAACCATTAATAATGAATAAAAAATTAATTAATTTGGATCCGACCGAACTAAATAATCCAGTTAGGTTACATAGAGACAGATCTGAATGAAACAACCCTAGTTTCAGTTGATAAAGATGATTAAATCATCAAGAAATTTAATAATAGAAAACCCTAGCTTCTTTCTTATGGGCAACAAGATACAGTAAATAGATAAAATTAAACACATCAATGCTCACCAACTCTACAGACTGCAATTAAAATAAAAATGAAGTATACATAATACACCTATATATAGTAGACTCCCCCAAAAAATTCTTTCTGGTTGAATAGTTTTGACTAATTTCAACGATCATTAAACAAGGCCACTTTTTTAAGGCTATCATTTTATTCAATTTAATTTATATTTTTATATGTTCAATTAGACCATAATTTGAGTTCCAAAAACAGGATCAACTAACCGAACTGACTAACGCTTTATTTGAAATAATTTTCTTACTAAAGAAATTTTATAATACAAAAAAAATTTGTAAGAAAATAAATGTTTTAAAAAAGCAGCAAAAAAATTGTTCCAAATGAAGTCTACATTTTTACTGCTTCTTAAAATAACTTTTTTTTTACTAAAAAACTATTTTAAAAAATAGTAAAAAAATCATCCCAAATGAAGCTTAAATCTTCATTTAGGACAATTTTTTTTATTTTGCAACCACAATTTTTATTTTTTATTATTTAAAAAAATGTCAATAACGGTTTTAAAACATTATTTTATATACATCAATTTAATAAAACGTTAAGGAAGGCCTAGGAATAAAAATTAAAAACTCAAGAATGCTCAACTTGATAAGCCAAAAAGTTACCATTTGAAATTTTACTGTCTCTCAACACAATCTGAGGGATTTTAATGGTCTAATTGAATCAGATTTTAATACAAAATTTATTTTCTTATGTAATCAGTAAACATCACTGCTGTGTGAATAGTTTGGAAGATAAGACAAAGATTTATATGGATATTCATATAGGAGAAGAACTGTTAACATAATAATAATAATTTTTGATCTGGCAAATAAACAGATGTTTCGGTGCAGCAATAATAGAAATTGGCGTAATGAATACGAAAAAAATAATAAAATGGCTTGAGAAATTATATAAATTTTTAAGGAGTTTTGGATTTATTCAATAGTGATTTGACTCATTTTAGACCAAAAATAAAAAACCCCCATTATGCTACATCACCTTTTACCTCTATATTCTCAATCATTGTTAATTAAATGGGGGAGTTTAATAATTTATTTGATACGGCTTTCTTATTATTTTCTAAAATAATTTTTTAGCATATAAATTTATTTTTCATTTTTTTTTTGTATTAAAAAATAATAAGAAAGCCGTTCCAAAATAAGTCTAAGGCTTCATTTGGGATAACTTTTTTACTACTTTCTAAAGCAGTTTTCTTATACAAAAATTACATGCACTATTATTAAGCCCCACTTATTATGTGTGAAAGTTATCCTAAACTCTCTCAAAATCATCAAAATAACCATATTATTTTTTAAATGATTGCAATATTGCTTATCTCTCTATCTGGAACATTCTGATAGAAAAAAAAATCATTTTTTTAATAATAACCACCTCTTCATGGGCCATCAAGTACTGGTTGAAAACTTTGTCTAGTTGAATAAGACACTCTTCCTCCAAGATAGCTCTAAATAAGATGTGATATCTGTCAAGATTCATTACTCAACCAAATCTTATTGCTTTCCATCAAAAAATAAACTATTCGACAGCACAATCTCTTGTACTTGACACCTTCCTATTCATCGATGTTTCAGTAAACTGGGTTTGCCCAAAGATTTCTCTCAATAACTGTTAGGGAAGTGGAACCTCTTCTACTGAATACTTTCCTAACAGGCTAACAGCAGCTGTTAGAGAAATTATTGAACTGGGATCTATCATATCGACAAGCCATTTTTGACAAGTTATTAAGGTTAGTTCTATTCCTATGCTTCATCTATAAACATTGAAGTAATTAATGATGCTTCATAAAAACACTACGCTAAAAATAATGTCATTCATGGTCATATGGTTGTTTACGCATGCAAAAACATTTTATAATTTGATTAAAGTTTGGTGATAAATGGAACTATCACTTTCTACAAGATGTTTTTGTTTATATGCAACAGATAAACCTTGAGATTCTGAAGATCTATCGATCAATGATATAAAAAATCACATTTTAAATCAAAACTTGGAAGCTTTTTACCTTGCAAATGGCTAACTTCTCTTGTCACTTCAAAGTCAACGCGACCAATGCCTGTCTGCACGAATCTTGATGTAATCAATAGACAGCCACCTGGCCCACCAAAAACATGGACATTAATCAGAACTCACCACATCCAAACAAGCAAATGAAGAAATGTGCACTGAGCACAGCTGTGTAAAATCCCTCCATTCTCCAATGGAAAATTGTTTTAATTGAAATATTTACATACATATTAGTATTTGTTTTAATATATCTAACATATAATTTATTAATTTATTTATATAACACTCAAATCTTTAGATCATATAAAAATATTATAAGTATTAACATATTTTAAATAAAATATATCATTTTCTGTATTTGCTTGATATGATTTAAATAATAAAATAATATATAAATAAATATAAAAATGTATATGCTTAATATATAGATACATTAAAAATTGTGCTTTGCATAGAAATCCTCCTTTTATTTTTCTGTCAAAATATTCTGATAAAAAATTAATCATAATAAAATTTGAAATTATTAAATTTATTTTGAAATAAGTACAACATTTAAATCATAATTTTAAATTTATATTACATTAATCTCAATAAATTTAAACCCATTCATATTAAAAATATGACAAAATAACTTTCAGCCATGTCCCCCTTCCCTCTACCTAAATATTTCCAGAAATAGAGCTATTCGATAAAACCTGTTCCACTGAAAGGAGACCCTTCAGCCTTTTGCCATAATGCAAGCACCCCTGTAGGGCCCAAAATTGAAGATTTCTTTCACAACATTCATAAATATATTTCAAGTAAGTGATAGCCATACTCACTAAAAAAATCTATATTTACAATCAACCAACATCAATTTTAAATAGGAAAAATAATAAACAAATTTTCATGAAACGAACAATTTTGATTAACCTACTTAAAAAATGATCCTCCAATACTTTTTTGGTTTAGGTTTTTTTATAAGAGTGTAGCAATACTATTCCAACAATAAAAACTACAAGTGAAACAAAGGTCTGATCACATACCCCACACCAATTGCTAATTGGACTAGCACCGACCTGCAATAATAATCCTGCACCAATAATCAGCAACACCGGGACAAATAAAAGATCGTACAACTCAATTACTTTCTTTAAAATGTGGCTACACTTGCCTTGAAATCAACACCACCTTTGGCTATTTTATACAATAAAAAATGCAAAAAAAGACAGATAAGTACCTGTGGCAGTTCACCAAATGTTTCATGAGAGAGAGCACAGAAAGGGGCCCAGATGGAATATGGCCGACCTCCCCAGCATGTCCATTTCACAGGGACAAAACACTCCTACAGAAAATCAGTGAAAATTAGAGATGAAGTGACTTTAACATGCCAGTTGCTCTTTGATTTATCAAAACAAGACATAACAGTCACTATGAGTTGCATCAGCATTCAAGCCTTTCTAACAAAGGAGGCAAATACTTCTGCGAACAGCATTGAACCATTTCATTGCTTTCCACATATCCACGTACATTTTGTCAGAAAAATAACGTTCAAATACTAATCTCTTCCATAGGTATCCACAAATGGTTCATCTCAACTAATAACTTCGATCTCAAGGACAGAATTTCATTAGTAGTCACTGCAAGCACCTTTGTTCTAATGACGAGTTAACCAACAAGAGTGCTGCTTCATAAAAGACCTCAGGTCACATGGTTTGTACAGATCCATAGACTCTACTATGATGTAACCAAAATAATGAAAGTGGAACCAATTCGAGAGAAATCTTCGAATGTGTAGGAGAACTAGGTAATTGATTGAAGTTAAAAGGATACCTCCAGGTTGGGGCATCATAACCTTTTGATGCCCAACAATAGTCATCAAACACTTTAATTTCATGTGCACGCAAAGGTTTTCAAAGTAGGTTCAACTATATAGCTTCTTCGATTATCCCGGATGGAGATGGCAGATTTGACATGTCGCACCATTTGTGATTTCTCTCCAAAAGGAACTTACATCGGAAATCCTGTAGTGTAAGGAAACCTCATATCATATTAACAAGCAATAAGAATAAAGCTATTAAGAGATGGAATTCTGAAACAAAGTAGCAGATGGAAAAAATGAAAATGATAATAAGCATTAGCCATTAGCTATTGCATAAGATTAGTTAGGTGATTATTCACAGCCAGAACAATACTCTTTCCATTAGGTTATTATTAGGTTGCAACCATTTAGGATGCATGCATTTTGAGAATGCATAGTAATATTAAATCTAGTGCATTATGATTACTCAAAATGATTTGGTCGACTGCAAAACTTCTTTTTTTTTCATATATGATTGAACATCAAAAAAAAATTCAAGAATATAGGAAGTTTAATTTAGATCATGTCAGAGTATGAAAAATTGACAAGTCTAGAGCCAAGTTCATTGAGCAATATATTGAGTGTGAACGGTAGGGTGGTGGAAATGTAATAGGAAATGGATACAATTTCCTCAAAATCAGCAAACAACAATAAAAAATTAGAAAGAAGAACACACCAAAACTATTTTTATTGTAAGATACATGAAAGAAAGTAGTAAGATATAGTTGGGTCTTCAATTGGAGAGGAAGATTTGGCTCTCCCAAATCCCTAACCGGTGGCTAAAGCCCTCACAACCTAAGAAATTTTAATTTTAGCAAACTCAAAATATAATCCTGAAATCATGCTATTGTTATAACCTTAAATAGACTCCCATAATTCTCTCCCAAATTAGCCCCATTCCCCTTAAATAAATCCCTCTTAGATTTGAATTCAAGTTAGATTTATTTCCCTAATTAATTCCCTCCCAATTGCAATTAAAACTTTCCTAAAAAATCCCCCTTAATTCCTCTTTTCCCCCCTAAATAATTCCCTCTTAGATTTTGAATTCAAATTAGATCTCTTAACCTAAATAATTCCCTCCCAATTGCAATTAAAACATTCATAAACAATTCCCCTTTGATTAAGAACCTTCCTAAATAGCTCCATCTTGATTAGGAAACTTCCTAATTCCCTCCCAATCAAATCATTCGATCCATCAATAATCCCCTCCCAAAGTGTCACCTTGTCCTCAAGGTGGAACGAACGAAACTGTTACTGAAGTACTTGATTAAAAACATTGGACTGAAAAATGGACTAATACTAGGTCAAATGATTCCTGCCTCCAGCATCTCCCTGATCAATCTCTTGATCTCATCCTTCTAAATTTGGGGATAACGGTACATACGAACACTAATAGATGAGACTACTTCCTTTAAGATGATAGCATGCTCATGTTCCCACAAAGGAGGCAACCTTTGAACAGGCTGGAACATCTTTAGATACTGCTGAAGGAGTGGTTGAACCATGTATGGTGCTTCTATCTTCTCCCCATCTTTGCCTTTCAAACTCTGCAACTCCACCAAAAATCTCATTCCTTCACCCTTTCCCCTCTTTGGAAGTGACTCCAAAATCACCTCCATGTCATCTATCAATGTAACCAGCAATGTTGAGCAGACATTAACCAAATTCTCCATAGGTGAAGTCATTGAATACTTCTTCATTGGAGATTGAGAAACTACAAAGGCTTTGAAATCTAGCCAGGTATAAGCATGATTTACTAAACAAAATTTTGCATCAAATTTAGTTACTCTAGCAAATTTGTTCATGCTTTATTGATAGTTTTGCTCGACAGGAATTGAATGTCGTTGATGCTGATAATTAATGTCCTTTAACGTGAAGATCCAACAACTTCTTTATCATTCCGTCTAGGTTAGAAAACGTTTTCTCCATTGATGACATTTTGTGACCTTAGCTTTTAGTGTTTTATATAATAGATTAGATTCTAAGGAGGGAGAAAGATATATGTATAAGTTAGCCAAACAAAGCGATAGGAGTAATAAGGATTTCTGTTTTTATCATCAAAACTCTAATTTACACAAGGCTCGTAGGGTTCAATAGGTTGTGAAGAAATGAGCAAGTACTTTTTAGTATTGTGTGATGTGAAATGAGCAAGTGCTTAATGGTTTGATTGGTTGGAGAAGTGATTAATAGATTGATGGAGATTTGAGAGATTTATGTCAGACCGACCACTGGACCGGCTCAGTTATATCGAAGGAGGAACAAGAGTTCCGCCCCCGTGAATGCCCCTAATAACCGATTTGAATGAAGGATTTAATATGGTTTAGGAGGAAAAATTCAAAGGAGGGGTTGTTTAGGGATTTCACTTTTGATTGTATGCTTTAAGGAGAAAATTTTATGAGAGTTGGGGAATTGTGTATTTGCTGAAATTTGGAGAGTTGTTTGGGCTGGCGGCTAAAGATTGGGAGAGCGGATCCTCCTCTCCAATTGAGGATCTATTGTATTTTGTTTGTTTCTTCCATATATCATCAATTAAAAAGAGTTTTCTCTTATTATTTTTCTTGGAGATTGAAGATATAGGAGTAATAAGGATTTAGTTCAAGTGAAGTGTATTAAGGATGAAGATCAAAAAGTACTTTTCTTAGAGGATGATATTCAACAAAGGTAGATGAGATATTTTGCTAAACTTTTAAATGAATATTGTGAAAATACGATTAACTGCAGTGACCTTAGCACCCTAAATGAAAATAAAGATTTCTGTTTTTATCATCAAAACTCTAATTTACACAAGGCTCATGGGGTTCAATAGGTTGTGCAGAAATGAGCAAGTACTTTTTAGTATTGTGTGATGTGAAATGAGAAAGTGCTTAATGGTTTGATTGGTTGGAGAAGTGATTAATAGATTGATGGAGATTTGAGAGATTTATGTCAGACCGACCACTGGACCGGCTCAGTTATATCGAAGGAGGAACAAGAGTTCCGCCCCCGTGAATGCCCCTAATAGCCGATTTGAATGAAGGATTTAATATGGTTTAGGAGGGAAAATTCAAAGGAGGGGTTGTTTAGGGATTTCACTTTTGATTGTATGCTTTAAGGAGAAAATTTTATGAGAGTTGGGGAATTGTGTATTTGCTGAAATTTGGAGAGTTGTTTGGGCTGGCGGCTAAAGATTGGGAGAGCGGATCCTCCTCTCCAATTGAGGATCTATTGTATTTTGTTTGTTTCTTCCATATATCATCAATTAAAAAGAGTTTTCTCTTATTATTTTTCTTGGAGATTGAAGATATAGGAGTAATAAGGATTTAGTTCAAGTGAAGTGTATTAAGGATGAAGATCAAAAAGTACTTTTCTTAGAGGATGATATTCAACAAAGGTAGATGAGATATTTTGCTAAACTTTTAAATGAATATTGTGAAAATACGATTAACTGCAGTGACCTTAGCACCCTAAATGAAAATAAAGATTTCTGTTTTTATCATCAAAACTCTAATTTACACAAGGCTCGTGGGGTTCAATAGGTTGTGAAGAAATGAGCAAGTACTTTTTAGTATTGTGTGATGTGAAATGAGCAAGTGCTTAATGGTTTGATTGGTTGGAGAAGTGATTAATAGATTGATGGAGATTTGAGAGATTTATGTCAGACCGACCACTGGACCGGCTCAGTTATATCGAAGGAGGAACAAGAGTTCCGCCCCCGTGAATGCCCCTAATAACCGATTTGAATGAAGGATTTAATATGGTTTAGGAGGAAAAATTCAAAGGAGGGGTTGTTTAGGGATTTCACTTTTGATTGTATGCTTTAAGGAGAAAATTTTATGAGAGTTGGGGAATTGTGTATTTGCTGAAATTTGGAGAGTTGTTTGGGCTGGCGGCTAAAGATTGGGAGAGCGGATCCTCCTCTCCAATTGAGGATCTATTGTATTTTGTTTGTTTCTTCCATATATCATCAATTAAAAAGAGTTTTCTCTTATTATTTTTCTTGGAGATTGAAGATATAGGAGTAATAAGGATTTAGTTCAAGTGAAGTGTATTAAGGATGAAGATCAAAAAGTACTTTTCTTAGAGGATGATATTCAACAAAGGTAGATGAGATATTTTGCTAAACTTTTAAATGAATATTGTGAAAATACGATTAACTGCAGTGACCTTAGCACCCTAAATGAAAATAAAGATTTCTGTTTTTATCATCAAAACTCTAATTTACACAAGGCTCATGGGGTTCAATAGGTTGTGCAGAAATGAGCAAGTACTTTTTAGTATTGTGTGATGTGAAATGAGAAAGTGCTTAATGGTTTGATTGGTTGGAGAAGTGATTAATAGATTGATGGAGATTTGAGAGATTTATGTCAGACCGACCACTGGACCGGCTCAGTTATATCGAAGGAGGAACAAGAGTTCCGCCCCCGTGAATGCCCCTAATAGCCGATTTGAATGAAGGATTTAATATGGTTTAGGAGGGAAAATTCAAAGGAGGGGTTGTTTAGGGATTTCACTTTTGATTGTATGCTTTAAGGAGAAAATTTTATGAGAGTTGGGGAATTGTGTATTTGCTGAAATTTGGAGAGTTGTTTGGGCTGGCGGCTAAAGATTGGGAGAGCGGATCCTCCTCTCCAATTGAGGATCTATTGTATTTTGTTTGTTTCTTCCATATATCATCAATTAAAAAGAGTTTTCTCTTATTATTTTTCTTGGAGATTGAAGATATAGGAGTAATAAGGATTTAGTTCAAGTGAAGTGTATTAAGGATGAAGATCAAAAAGTACTTTTCTTAGAGGATGATATTCAACAAAGGTAGATGAGATATTTTGCTAAACTTTTAAATGAATATTGTGAAAATACGATTAACTGCAGTGACCTTAGCACCCTAAATGAAAATAAAGATTTCTGTTTTTATCATCAAAACTCTAATTTACACAAGGCTCGTGGGGTTCAATAGGTTGTGAAGAAATGAGCAAGTACTTTTTAGTATTGTGTGATGTGAAATGAGCAAGTGCTTAATGGTTTGATTGGTTGGAGAAGTGATTAATAGATTGATGGAGATTTGAGAGATTTATGTCAGACCGACCACTGGACCGGCTCAGTTATATCGAAGGAGGAACAAGAGTTCCGCCCCCGTGAATGCCCCTAATAACCGATTTGAATGAAGGATTTAATATGGTTTAGGAG